GCAACGGGAGAGGCCACAGCAGTGAGAGGCCCGCGTACCGCAAACAAACAAGCAAACAAACAAAAACAAACAACAAAAAAATGCCCAATACTCTTTATCGGAAGTGAAGAACCAAGAAATAAAAGGAAGAACTATTTCACTTGACACACCCCAGAGAGCAAGACGATCTTACCTGCCGAGTGTTCGTTATATATCATGTTCTGAAAAATCATAGTGCAATCTAAATGGCTGCCTGAAACACCAAATTATGGAGCCTGCGCGATGCTACACGCTTTTCACCTAGTTAAGATGACATCTACAGTCGTTAAAAGATGTTATTTGGCTACCTAAGCCTGACAATTCCATCAGCCTTTCCTCAATAGCCTAAAGTAAAAATGACATATTTACAGCTATGTTAACTTGGATACTTAAGCAATGATAAGATCAATTATTATCCCTGGGAAAACATCCTAGGATAGTAAACCAGAAAGCATGAATGGGCTACTCAGACTCTAAAATTCCCAAGTATGTTATATAATTTAGAAGCTAAAGCCCTCTACTGCAACAAATTCGATGAAATAGCCTTTCTTGGGATCAAAAAGAGAAGTATATTAAAGAAATTCAATAATGCATTTGACCTCTGTGATCTAATGCACCATCACATATATACTGTGTGCCCCTCTGTGCTAAGCGTGGGAAACAGCAGAAAACAAAACTGATTATGGAATTATATATAGTCTTTCTGTGGACCTAAGTGACTTCAGTTGTCTGAGGTTCTCCTCTTAAAGGAATAATGATAGGAATATGATCAATCAACAGAGACATATTTACAACAGTACTAATGAACATGTGTGGAAAACATCAGTGGCAAAGACCCCAGGCAAAACATTACTTTTCTTTAAACATTTTTGGAATCATGAAACTGAGGAATTTAGTCTTGGGGTAACTATGGAAGACGTTCAAGGCAGAACCATACCTTCCAACAGAAGAGCAATCAGCTTATTTTTAAAGACACCCAGAGAAGACAGAGCAATTTCCTAAGGTTATGCGGTTTGGCCCCTTTTATCATGGAGAATTCTAACCCTCCTTGCTTTTAATACCCACTCATGCACTTACTGAACTCTCACTGAGCACCTATGACATGCCAGGCAATGTTTCCTTGGATGTGCTAGTGTCATTTCTCCTGTAGGCTTTCTTAAATCTGTATCTAATCTCTCTTCCTACTCTAAGTCTTTCTTTGTACAGCCCACCAGCGTGGTTACCTACGTTTTAGCTTCCGAAACTACATCTCTGATCCTGTCACTTCCCTGTTTCAAATGTGGATGGCTTACCTCTGCCCGCAGGTGGACCACTGGGTATAACCCAAACATCCTGTGGATTTTTAAACCCCATGCCTTGGCTTATTCCCTCTCCTAAGAATTTATACACCCCACCCCCCTGACTCATCTGCCAAAATTCTACCCGTCCTTCAAGTTCTATATTACTTTCTTTGGGAAGCTTTTCCTGATCCTGTTTGGCAAAATAAATGGCTCACTCCTCTAAGCTCAGGTAACATTTTGCTCAAATTCCATCTCTTTTCACTCCTTTTTTATGTGTTGTCTTACCTGCCAGACTGTAAGCACACCAAAGGCAGAGTCTGCCTTACTGTGCTAACACACAGTGTCTTAAAAAAGGCTGATGATTTTTATGGGCCAGATAGACATGAGCTGTTGATTGACTGAAACTTCTATATAGTTGGAGATTTTTGTTTTGTTTGTTTGTTTGGTTTGGTTTGGTTCAGACCAAATAAAGTTGTGAACTTTAAACTTGAGTTTTACTCACTGGCCTTGTTTCTTGACCTAAGTGGTAGCTGTGCAGTGGACTCTGGTATAATGATACAGTGAGAGTCTGACCACAGAGAGGATTCGTCACCAGCGCCTCACTGCCCTCCTCTGCTCTGTCCTGTTCGACCACAGTTGGCTGCTAATTAGGTCAAGAGCCAGGTTCAGTTCCTGACTTTCCAGTTAGTTTCTCCCTATTCCTGTGCCCCAACTAGTCACCTCACAAAAGTGTCCTGGTGACTGGTCCCAAGGTGAGAAAGCAGATAATAATCCACATATAAAGCAGTGTCCATCCATCAGCAATACTGGGACCATAAGTCAAATCCATTATCTGCGTGTTTTCAGTTCATTTCTATAGATGCCTTCACAGGTCTATTTCCTAGAACCCCAGACCCTGAAGTTATTTAAAGGGACAAAGAAATTGAACAAAAGGAGCCAAACATCTACTGTTTCTTACACTGATATTGAGAGTTTTGACCAAACAAAGACACAGACCAAAAGAAGTGACTCCTTAAGATTTCGAGTACCTATTTCCATGCTCAAACTGAGGATAATGGTAAGGAAATGGCATAATACAGCTAACTGAACTCTCCCGGCTTCTACTTCATGGTTTAGATAATCATTTTGTAGTTGTACACAAAATGTATACAATGTAATTGTATATTTGGAAGCTTGGGTTTCATTCACATCTCTTAAAATCTGTAAGAAAATTTAAAAATGTAAACTCCAAGCCATCTCTTTTCCTCTCTTCAGAAGTGAATGAAAATCCCTAGAGGCTGATGCTTCTATAGCCAAGGATATCACACCTCTTTTCTCTCAATGGTTCATCTCTTACTTAATCTCTTTCATGTTCCTTCAAATTAAAATATAAAAAATTATAAATATATATATATAAGATATATTAAAAATACTAAAATTGGGAAGGATTGTGGAGACCTTTTATTTTTCTTGTCTCCCAGAGAGAGTCCCTAAACTCTACACAAAGAAGGAAAACAGAGAAGAGGACAGAATTCATTCCTAGATTGAAAAAAGAAATATTTTTAAGGAAGGGAAACCCAGGGAAACAAATTATTCTCAAGCAGTTAAACGTCTCATCATGGTAAAATATTATCATTTTATGTAAGCAATGTTTACTTACTGATGCACTATTAAATGAAACAATATAAAGATTTAGCTTTGTTAAAAAAAATTGAAACACCATTTCTCTTTTTATCTGAGTTCCACCAGATTTTAACACTGGGGGCTTTAGGAACCTTCGGAGACTCTCTTTTTGCTTGTCTCTATAATCAGAAGTAATTCACAATTCAATTTAGTAACATCAAATGGTAAAACCTCCACTATATCAACTGACATTTCTTTTAGTTAGTCTGAATTCGTTAAAATCAGCGGGTGACGTTTTTTTCCAGGGGCATGCACGTCCTCTTCCAATATGACAAGTCAACGGAAAACACAAACTGCCCTGCTGCAGCTCAATTAATCGGCTACTGCCTCTAGGCTGAGCCCCAGTGACATGGCCACTGCACAGGGAAAGA